TAATTCAAATATGGGTTCAAATAAATTTCAATATTTTCTGTTTCTATTTCTATGACAGCATCACTTATCCTCTTAATTACAAGATAGTTTTAACTTTTATCATATTGATAGATTATATATACAATTGTCACTCCTAATTCCAACTATTTCTATCTTTATTGTAACATTAAATATACGTTTTCTGCTGTTCAAGGAACTAATAATTTCCAAGTTTTTTGAAGCTTGTATAATGGCTCACTATGGTGTACTGGTATAGCTCTTACTAAATTGTGTGTTGTGTTGAAAACAGGGTTTGGTGGAGAAGAACCACATCTGATCTGTCTTTCTCGTTCTTTTCTCAGGGGTATCCATGCAGCAGTGATAAAGAGTGCACAGTGGGAACATACTGCCACAGTCCTCAGCACGCCCCGTCCCGCTGCCTCACCTGCCGCAGGAGAAAGAAGCGCTGCCACAGAGACAACATGTGCTGCCCTGGCAACCGCTGCAGCAACTGTACGTTCCTCGAATGATCGCTGATAGACACTGTTTCCCATACTGACTCTGAGAAAGTTACAATGGATCTTTTCTGTCTTTCTTCAGACATCTGCATCCCCATCTCAGAGCGTGCCCTGTCCTCACACAAGTCACCTATGGAGGAGCACAACAAGTTTTCCATCAAAGACAAAGGCTGGAGGAGGAACGGCAAAACTCAGGCCAAGATGTCTCTCAAAGGTGAGCAACTGACTATCACAACTCTTTACAATTTGTGTAAAGTTGTTTAGGACTTGAAGATCTGCAGGGTTAGAGAGAGCCTCGACTCGCACAGACTTTTAACCTGCAGGATAAAGCCTGGTTGGGTTTGCAGCAGAAGAACCGTCAACCAGTAACAAACTAGAAAATTGCATAATGTCGGTCTGAAAAGGCTTGAGAAAACACAAGACATTAGCAGAAATGTGGGTAACACTTCACAATAAGGTCCCATTACTTAATGTAAGTTAATGCATTAGCTAAAATTAGCTAACAATGAGCAGTTTATTTGTTACAGTATTCATTAATAAAAATACA